TTGATGCAGGCCTGCCGGGTGCAAAGGGGGGGAGCCGGGCGAGGCGCGGGGTTAGTTCTATTCTAGTCCACCAGTCCACGCGATTGTTCTACAGAATCGATCGATTAATTTTGGTGACGAGAGTGCTGTTGCCTGTGAAGAACGTCGAACGAGAATTGCAGATATTTGAACCAAATTTGGTGAGACTTTGATTTCCAGCGGCGCATGTGTATACCAAAGCGGTAAAAACGCACAAATGAGGGGGGGGGTAGGGGGGGGGGCGAACGGTGCCCCCAGAATCACCACCCCCAGCCCCTTTTCCCGATGAATACTGGTCTTGATTCCTCCACAGCAGCTACGTCTTTTCATTGGTCGGCGCGGTCGATGCTAACAATAAAAAAAAAAAAAAAACACACACACACAGCAGCAGCAGCAGCAGCAGCAGCAGCAGCAGCAGCAGCAGCACTGCACCGCCGTAGGCCAACGCCCAACCTCCCACCTGCAAATCCATCACGTTCATCTCGGTAGCGTTGGGCGCTCTTAGCAGGTTCGGCGCGAAGACGATCCCGAGGTTCTCCGTGGTCATTAGGTTCTCCGCCGAGAGCAGGCTAACCCGGAGAAGGAAGGCGAAGAGGAGCCGGACGCACGTGCGGTTGATCTCCGGGAGCTGGGCGACCAAGACCCTCACCGTCTCCACGAACTCCGTCAAGTCCTGCAGAAAACGCGAAGCGAGCGAACTCATCGTGAGACAGGCATACTCGTACATACACAATACCTGTCGATGACCGATACATACAATGTTGTTTCCCCTGACACACATGCAAACAACGCGTCGCCGTCACGCGACAAGCACACACACATCAAACACTAATACCTGTCGATGGCAGACACCGGTATCTTACATCTTTCGAACAGAGTGGTACACTGTTTCCCGAACAGAGCGACGGCATGGCACCAAAAGCGACTTGCCTTAACGCTGGCCTCCAGCATGGGGTAGTAGAAGGCAGTGGGCACCACGGGCTCTGGTAGCTCGCGGAAGTACATCTTCAGCAGGGTCGCCACCTCGTGCACGTCGTGTATCTTCTCAGCAAGCGAGAGGGGGGGGGGGCGGGGGGGGGG